CATTTTTAGAAGAAGCTGGAAACAAGGAGAAATAGTCAGCATCAGGTGTTTTCCAGTAGGTGCTCCATTGACCACAGTTTGAGATTTACTGGCAGAGGAGTTTGGGGCAGGTTGTGGAGAGAAGTCTTTGCAGTTGAGGGCCCAACTGAAGAGTTTTTAGGGAGATCTAAATTAATTTACTTAAATCAAACTTATGAATTGTGAACATGAATCCCATTTCACCAATGTAATGTGCTATTCATTAGGTTTCCCTAAAATAAGAATGAAATGTTAGTGTTGATATTCATGCCATGTTTATGAACATTTGCTGATTTTTATGGTGTTTTTTTCCCTCTTTAGCTTGTTCAGTGATCATAAATTATTTTGAAAAGTTAAATAACAAAGACTTCCAACCCTTCCCTCCCCCAAAAAGAGAGATTATATGTTTTACTTCACCTCAGTACAGCACCAATAAGCAAGAGGCAGGAACAAGATTGTGCTTAATGTCTATTACTGTGATAAATCCAAATGGGGAACTGTCTTAAAATATAGGTAGATGCCTGTGAAAGTACACAACAGGTCAGGCAATCAATGGCAATATTGATCACATTGTGTCTTTAAAGAGCTTGAATCAGAAAGGCTTTGTCTATTGACTCATTCATGCTGAGTTAAGTAAGGTTTAAAACAGTGCAGGATTATGAACTGTCTACCTCTAACCTTTCTTTGCTACCTTCTAAGATACTTTAACTCCAAGTTTATATGTATTGACTCTGGATGATATTTTATTATATTCTAATAATAGTATTGTGTTTGATTAGCTTAGACCTATTGGAAACAATGAGAAGATCAAGGCTAGGAATGAAGCACATCCTAGATGACTTGATGAAATTTAGAACTGTCACTGCAAAGGGGAACCCCTGAAAGCTCTGGCAAATCTCCTGGCCCTCATGCTGAAATTTACCAGACAGCACGCCAATCCCACAATATAAATGGGATAATCAGTGTTACCTTCTTTAAAGGAAATGGTACAGTCAGTCTTAAAGAAATCTTTACGTATCACAAGTGGACTTGATTGTAGATGGAGTATAATGATACTTCAAAAGGGCTGGGCATGGTCAGTACTTTGAAGAGAAATCTCAGTGGAAATACTCAGATGCTGCAAGAAGTGATGTTATCAGCATTTGAATCAACATTAAACTAGTGCCCCATCATGGCATCAGGGTAAGTGTCATACATAACTGATGTACAATTGAAGCCTAGGCTGCTTACGGCCATTAAAGATCCTATGACAATTTTCTCAAGAACAGGGGTGTCTGGCCCAGTGTCTGTGTGAAATGAACTAATTCCAGTCTGCCTATCCTAATCTTCTTGTAACTTTATTGATCTCACTGTTGTCTTCACTTCTTGCACTAAATTGTAATATAATATTGTGCTTTAGTAAGCATGAGCATTCCACCACAGAGGTGGCTGCATTTCACATATGGTTGAAGTGAAGCGGTCCCCTTATCTAAAGCACAGGAAAAGGTTCTGTATTCACTAGGTAACCTCGTAGTGTGTCTATCACAAGAGCAGTTCCCTCAGAGTGCTTGTTAGTTCACAGCTGTAATAAAGCATAAATAAAACCAAGTTCTCATCTTGAGTAGAGAATGATAAAGGACCCATTTTGCAGCTATAAATCCAGACCTGTTTAGTCTTCGGCAAGGACCTTTGTTTGACAGTTCACAGCAAAATTGAGTTGCCTGGGCATGTTGGTCAATAGTTTCTCACTAAGAAGGCTCCTCCTTCCCTTTTGCACATGCACTAATCCAGTGGTTCTCAAACTTTAGCAACCTGAGGATCCCCATTTTGATTGAAAAATTTTCATGGACCCCTTAGCCTACTGATGTTCTTTTTCATTTGAAAAAAAAATGCATGTTCATGAAAAGCTCTATTATTACTGAAATTATCATTAACATAATTATTTTGTTATTTATTATTATACAGAGATACATAAATATGTCTTGGTAAGGAACTAATTCTTTATTTAATATAAACAGCTACAAAACTTCATAAAAAACCCCAAGCTTACAAAACATTAATGCGAAGGATGATGTTGTTTTGCCGAAACAAGATCACAAATGTTTGGCTCAAAGGTGGAAAGTTGTATTCTTAGATCTGGTTCTACATTCAATCGGTTTCTGCATTTTGATTTCCCATATAAACGTGCAGAGAATGCCCATTCACATAAATACGTTGTGGGAAACGGCATTAAAAACTTCAACGCTTTGCCTGACAGTTTGGCATAATCAGGTCTCAGACTTAACCAAAAAGTCTGCCAGACTGTATTGATTGCTCCACAAGGCTATTTTCTTCAGATGAAGTTAGACTTTTGGTGGTGTTGACATCATTGAATGGATCCCTGATCCAATTGTTACCAGAATCGGGAAGAGGAAAATAATCCCTGAAGTTCTTCAAAGCCTGCAAATGATCAATGAGAACATTTTGTATTTCATCAGAGATCTCTTCATTGGACGTTTCAAGAAAATCGTTCAGCGTTGGAAATGATTCATTCACACCGTTCTGAAGATGATTTGACCATAAATCTAACTTTTTAATCAGCACTTCCACTTTGTCTTCAACTTTAAATATAGTTACAGCTACCCCTTGTAGGCTCAAATTTAGTCCATTCAAACAGATGGAAAATATCGGCTAAGTATGCTACCATATCTAACCGCGAAAAATCATTGAAACCCTCACTCAGTCGAAATGTCGTACCTATGAAAAATATTCAGATTTCATCACGCAACTCAAACAAGCAGTTGAGTACTTTCCCACAAGACAACCAACACACTTCTGAATGTAAAAGAAGCTGTTTATGATCGCTACCCATGTCATCGCAAAGGGCATTAAAGATGTGGGAATTTAGTGGATGAGCTTTAATAAAATTCACCACTTTCACTACCTCATCCAGCATTATCTTTAGTTTTCCTGCCATTTTTCTGGCAGCTAATGATTCTCGGTGTATACAGCAATGATTCCACATAACTGTAGTTATGATATCCTCAACACGTGCGTGAGTCCTCTGTAATTTCCTGACATTGCACAAGCCCCATCAGTACTGATTCCTACACATTTTGAACACTCAATTTCATTTGTTATTATGAAATCATTCAGATTATTAAACACAGCTTCACAGTAGTATGTGTTGGTAATGCATGGCTAAATAGGAAATCTTTTTTAATTTTACTATCTAATTCATATCGAATGAATGCCAGCAAATTAGTGTTGCCAGAAACATCTGTGCTTTCATCCAGTTGCAGTGAATAATATTGGCTTTTGCATACCCTTGTAATTAACTGCTCTTTTATATTCACAGACATACACCTCTACCCCAATATAACATGACCCGATATAACATGAATTTGGATATAATGGGATAAACAGTGCTCCGGGGGGGGGAAGCGGGGGGGCGGGGCTGCGCACTCTGGCAGATCAAAGCAAGTTCGATATAACACCTATAATGCGGTAAGATTTTTTTGGCTCCCGAGGACAGCGTTCTATTGGGGTAGAGGTGTATTTTCAATTCTATGGGTGACAGTGTCGTTGGAGTGAGATAAAATTTAAATCTTTTGCAGCTTTATCCCCCAGCATTGCACTGGTCGTTGCTTGTGCAGCAGGTAGAATTAGTTCCTGTGTGATACTGTGAGGTTTCCTTGCTATTATTAGGGATACTTGATAAGAAGCAAACACAGACTTTTTGTTTTGCAGCCAGTTGCGGTTTTTTCAATTGATTTCTAGCTTGCATGTAGTTCTCGCTGTTTGTTTTGGAAAAATTTGACAGATTTCTTCACGTGCTGCTTATGTTTCGTTTCTAGATGCCAGTGAAGTTTGGCTGGTTTCATGCATTTGTTGGATAATAATTCATGACAGAGAACACATTGTACTTTTCTGGCCATCTTCATAGTCTGTGCTTGTAAATCCAAACAAGTATTTGTCACAGTACTTACATATTTTGCGTTTTAGTTCCCGTGTTTGAGTAGTTTTGCTTGAACATGATGCAACTTCACTTAAGTCAACATCATCATTCTTACATTTTAACCAGTGATCCATAATGCAGTACCACAAGGTTAAGAACACGACCTTCAACGCACAGGCACCGGCTTTTAATTTTGAGCAGCTGAGAGTGCTCAACCCACACTCAGACCCAGGACCCACCCCACTACACAGCTGTTCCAGGGGGTGCAGGCAGTGGGAGGAATGGGGAGGAGTTGATCAGCAGGGCCAGCAGCCTCGGCCATAACTCGCGGACCACCTGGAGGCAGACATGACTCGCAGACCTCCTGGCGTACCTTCATGGACCCCAGTTTGAGAACTGCTGCACTAATCCATGTCACCAATATGGACAATAATTAGGGCCCTACCAAATTCACTGCTATGAGAAAGAGATCACAGACCGTGAAATCTGGTCTTTTGTGTGCTTTTACCCTATATACAGATTTCATGGGGGAGACTAGCATTTCTGAAATTGGGTGTCCTAACCCAAAAGGGAGTTGCAAGGGGGTTCGCAAGATTATTTCAGAGGGGTCTCGGTATTGCCACTCTTACTTCTGCACTGCCTTCGGAGCTGGGCAGCTGCAAAGCGGCGGCTGTTGGCTGGGTACACAGCTCTGAAGGCAACGTCTGCCAGCAGCAGCGCAGAAGTAAGGGTGGCAATACCATACTATGCCATCCTTACTTTTGCGCGGCTCTTCCTTCAGAGCTGGACTCTCGGCCAGTAGCCACCACTCTGCAGCTGCCCAGCTCTGAAGGCAGCGCCACCGCCAGCAGCAGCACAGAAGTAAGGGTAGCAGTACCTCAACCCTCCCTACAAACCTTGTGACACCCCCCCCCACCACTCCACAACTCCTTTTTTGGGTCAGGACCCCTACAATTACAACACCATGAAATTTCAGATTTAAATAGCTAAAATCATGACATTTACGATTTTTAAAATCCTATGACCATGACATTGACCGAAATGGACCATGAATTTGGTAGGACCTTAACAATAATACTCACTGGGACTGAGCGAGAAATACATGTTAGATCATATCTTGCACTGATCTCTGATGGTGAATTATTTCTCTTTTCCTGATGCTTGTTGGTAAAATTGATTAAAAAAAAAAAAAAAAAGTAACTAGGAGAAAACCTAACCCTCACCTGTAGTCTGTTGAGAAGCATAGTTTTGCATAAATGGATGCCTAAGTCCACTACACAAGTGACTGCATTTCAGTGTGTGGGAGCAGTAGTATGAAGGATCTATCGGGAAAGTATTACATCACCACTGAAGTCCAAAACTCATGTAGATACAACCTTTATAATATACCATACCATCCTTTATATATCTTCTTAAGAGCTAGCACTAAACCAGAATACAATCCCAATTAGCTTCTTTAATACTTAACTTTGATATGTTCTTAGTGCAGGTGAACAGCTCCCAGCTTATTCCTCATATTTCCCAAGCTGCAAATTGAGGGCCAGTCCTGAGACAATGGAAAAGCTCCCATTGATTTCAGCGATGTAGGATCGAATTATAAATACTGAGTTTGAGTAGAGATTGGTGGTACACATTTACCAGATGAGCAACAGAATATTTATTCTTTACACTATCCTTAAGGATCAAAAGCATGTTGCCGTAATTTGAAAATCCATCAAGGCAGGAGTTTGAAGAAATTATAGCACAATATTAAATCTTGCTTCTTAAGGGCTGGGATGGGGTTTGTGGCCCAATAAACAACAATAATCATGTTGTGCTGTCTTGTCAGACTGTCCTTTGCAAATACATTACTTTGTATTATATTTTAACAACCAAGGCGCGGTGCATAATCTTGTGGACGTCAACTAGTGCTTTATGAATTGAAATTAATATTAGAGTGGGATCATTTCCTAATGGGTTCTCATACAGCAAAACCCTGTTTATGCTACAGTACCAGTTGTCTTCAGTTCCAATTACTCAGAACATGCTTCCCTGCAGTTCTCATGATGCATTTTGTTAGGAAATACATTTCTCTGGGGGAAAAAATATAGATCTGTCTTTTGGTGATTCCAGCTGGCAATTTATCTGAAGGAAGGAAGAAAAAATAAGAGTTTGTTTTCCTACAGTATTAACTATATGAAATTCACTCTTGTGATGACCAGCATAAGGTCTAGGTAACTACATGTGGGCTCAGGTAGTCTGAGTTCAATTAGTAGTATTGACACTAACCTTGGGCAAGTCATTTGATTTCAGTATGCATTTGTTCCATGTCCTCAAAATGGGGATAATATGCTGACCAAAGCTCCTTGAAAATGTTGTGTTGACACTAATTTTCAATGAAAAATTCCTTGTTGTCCAAAATGAAAAAAAAAATCATGCAAAAATCCATTTTCATGGAAAATTTTCCATTTTTAGATGAAAATCCAAAACTGGAGGGGTGGTAATTCTTAAAAACAGAATGTGTATTTAAAACTAAAGAATAGTAATTATTGGATTTCAGCTTTTTCTTGAAAAAATCCACTTTTTTTTCTGGAAAATACTTATTTTCCTCTCAGCTGCAATACTGTCCCATTCTCACAGATCTATTATGAGGATAAATTAATTGATAGTTGTGAGGTGCTTGAATGCTGCAGTGGTAGGAGCCTATACAGACCTAGGTAAATCTGGACTCTGATTTTCAGGGTGGTCATTGCTCTAGACAAACTAGAGAATAGCTGCTCTTCAAACCCCACAGTCACACAGACAACTAAGCAATCTGCCACATGAACTCTCTATGTATTCTGTCCATGTGGCAGATCCATTCTGTTGTAAAAGAAAGCAGTGTGGTCCAGTGGATATGGTACTAAACTGGAAGGCAGTAGGCCTAGCTCTACAGTCAATTCCTGACACTGCCACCAACCTAGGGCTATCACCTGGCTGGTATTTGACTGACCTGGACAGTTTTTTGGTGGATTTGCCAGTTTCCAGAAAAATAATTTAATCTGCTGGGGGGGGGGGGGGGGGGGGGTGGGTGGGGCTGTATCAGGGGTCTGAAACACGCGGCCCGGGGGCCGCCTGCGGGGCTGTTTTCTGCGGCCCACAAGCTCCTCGCGCCCCCCCCCCAGCGTTTACCTAGAGCGGCTCCAGCCCGACGCGCACCAGGGGAAGGGCAGGCTCCCTGCCTGCCCTGCCCCCTGCCGCTCCAGGAAGCAGCCGGAACGTGGGGAAGGGGGGGGCACAGGGCTCTGTGTGTTGCTCTTGCTTCAGGCAGCGCACCCAGCAGCTCCCATTGGCCGCTGTTCCCCGTTCCCAGCCAATGGGAGTTGCTGGGGGTGGTGCCTGAAGCAACAGCAACACACAGACCCCTGTGCCCCACCTCCCCCAGGTTCCGGCCACTTCCCGGAGCAGTGCGAAGACAGGCAGGCAGGCGGCCTGCCCTGCCCCCGGTGCATGTCAGGCCGGAGCCCGCCCCCCGAGTGCCTCCTGCAGCCCAATCCCCTGCTGTACCCTGCACCCCTCCTGCAGCCCAACCCCCTGCTGTACCCCACACCTCTCCTGCACCCCACACCCCAACTCCCTGCCCTGAGCCCCACACCCCACACCCCTTCTGCCCTCCCTGGGGGCAGGAAGGGGGCAGAGTTGGGGTGGGGATTTCAGGGAAGGGGTTGGAATGGGGGCAGGGCCTCATGGAAGGGGTGGAGTGGGGGCGGGGCCAAGGGTGGCGGGGGGAGGTGTCAGTAATGCGGCCCTTGGCCAATGTACTAGTCCTCATGTGGCCCTTGTGGTCATTTGAGTTTGAGACCCCTGGTCTATATGTTTGCACTATTATTACAATACACTGGGATAAGCTAATGTTTATAAGTTTCTGTGTCCAGCTAAAGATGCTATGATATTGTCATTAAACATAAGAAATTGCTGGAAATGGCAAATACAAATTCAAGAAATAGACTCCATGGATTTTCTTAATATGTATAAAGTTCCAAAACATTCACATTCAAGTATATAGTTAAAAATATAGAATCAATGCAGTGTGTGTGGGGGGGGGGTGAGGAAGGGGAATCAAGACAGACACAAACAAGACAGCTTGGATAAACACAACCAAGGTAAGAAAATGATGTTATTAATCTTATCTATGTGTGTTAATTCTCTATATACTATAAATGGCTGTTGAAAGGGGTGGGGGTTGCAGAGTTGTCTTGTGGTTGGGAGTTGGGGTTGGAGTGGGCTTGTCTTGTGTAGGGTTTTTTCATTTCAAAGATGGTAACCCTACACTGACCTACTGACTGATCTTGGGCAAGTTATTTCACTTCTCCATGTCTCATGTTTTCCCCACTCCACCTTAAAAGCCTGTAGCAATGAGACCAGTAGGAGAAAGAAGAGAGGATACATAGTGGATAGAGGATACATGGTTTAAATATTGTCTGGTCACTCAAGGGTTAAGTGGCCCACTATTGTTATATAGCAGTGGTCAAGAGCTGACTTCCCATCACATGTTTTCCTGGTCAGTTTGAGCCACTTTTCTGGCAGAAACAAGCTTTTCCGAGGACTGGGTTGATGTGCTGACAGCTGCCTTTTTGCAAGCTAATAACGCTTGTTGAGATTACACTGAGCTATAAATCATCACTCTTTCAGAGAGGAAAGTGGTGTTGAGCAAACTAATGTTAATGTCAGATTTATGTGACTATTTATATAAACAAGTCTGCTAGAGTCATTTCCATATGTAATATGCACTGATTTAGAATCTTGGCATGTGCACATCTGTACAGAGCTGACTGACTAAAAGTAGACACCAAGCATGTATATATCACCAGTTTACATGCGCTATGTAACGTATATTCTAAGAAGTTTGTGGCTGTCCTGGACTTCCTGGTTGTCGTGCTGCACAGCACACCTCACAACTTCACTGAAATAAGATGAAACTCAGACAGCCGTTCTTCATAAGAACAGGACCCTTGTTCTGTCTGATCTGAAGGTGAATCTTCATTAATGGTTAACAACACAGAGCCTATGGCACACAGAAGAGCAGTCCTGATTTCATCCAATAGAGGGAAATTGTGCACACTAGCTAATGCCTGACAATATGCGGTTTATTTTTCCTGATTTTCCTGGGTGGTATTGTGAGCATAACATATTTAAAGCAAACCAATATGAGATAACATAAACCCTGGTGAGTTTCTGAACTAGAAAAGACAGTTATCAGCTAGATGCTTATGCTGGACCCAAGTCCTCTGGTCCCTTCCATATGTGCATTAATTTATTAAATGAGAAATTGGAAAGCTTGATGGTTGGTACTAGTGGAACAGATTCTTCTGAATTTTAGTACTCTCCAATTTCCATTCTTGTCATGTTTCCCTCATGTCTTCTCATTCAAATTTGTGACTTTACAGCTTGAGCAGCCCAGCCTGCCCCATGAATCCAAAATCTTGATGGAACATCACAGCAGTTCCCTAAAAATCCCATCATGCTCAGGGAAAGTACCTGGCAGTTGTTTATGCCTGAGTAATCCTATCACAGGGAAATTTCTTGGCAGCCAGTCCATGGAAAAAGTGGGAAAGTTTGGTTTAAAAATATAAAAAGAAATAAAACAAGAAAGGGTTAAACACGAGTGAAAAGAGAGAGAGAGAGAGAGAGCTACCAGTGACACCTGATTGGATTTCCTCCTTTGTAAATGGAAGTACAGCTGCTTAGGGAGGAGACACAATGCTGGGTTCTTCTTGCAGTAATTAGAAAGGCAGAGCTGCCAAAAACTGTTTTCCCAGCTGCCGCTCAGTTTGCAGGATATTTCTGGAGCCCCTCTCAGATGGCTAGGCATCCAGAGATCCCATTCAGCTGTGAAATTGGACTTGCAAAAACAAACATTACATCAAGAGAGCCATCCTTAAAAAAATTGCAATAACTTCAGATTATATTCTATTTTGAGAAGGGAAAGCTAATTGATACAAAAAACGAGCCAAAATATCTCAGCCTTGTCAGTTCCCAAGAGTAGTAAACAAATTTATCCTCTTATCCAAAGTCATTGGTCATCTGGAAGGCCCTGCTGTAACTTGACCATTTATGCATCTTTTCCTCCCCTCTATTCTGCTCTAGATACGGCGTGGAAGGGACGGAATTTAGGTTTTGTGTTTGGGGAAAGCTCTTCAGTCAGTTTTTGGTTTTGCAGATCCAATCTTACTTCTCCGCCCCCCCCCCCCCCGGCAATTGTCAATGCTCATGGCTTTGGATGAAAGGTTCTAATTTTGTCCCATTTCTATGGCTGAGAAAATGGATTGGGTTTGGTTCTGAATAAAGGCAAGTATCCATAAGCGAGAGTCCCTGCCCCAGAGTGCACTCACTCTCAGAAACAGTATAGGGAGAAGACTTGAACAATGCAAGGGGCCAGACTACAGCATAGAAAGTAGAAGTGGAAAACATCTCTTGGGTAATCTGATCCATTTTCCTCTGCCACTACAGGACTGTTGCCTATGGTGTAGCCCCCATTGTTTTGTCCAGTCTGATTTTAAATATCTTCAAAAATGGAGTTTCCATTGGGAGACCCAAATGGTCTTTCTATATTAGTAGTCATACTGCTATCTATATTTCTCAAGCACATTATGACCATTTAAAGGACATTTCAAGATGAGGGACTTAACATGCTTCCCTTTATCATGTGTATAATATATAGAATGTCCCTGTAGCTGACATGAATTCTTAGCTTTCACAGGCAAATACTAGTAATTAATGTCACTACTGGAAAAATTGAAACACCAACTACACAAAATAAATACTTACATATATACTATTACTCATTTTTCCTCATGTTATTTAGGGACATTAGCATTAAATACTGAATTATGTCATCTACGGGTGAAAGGTTTAGTTGGATGGATGTACAGCTATAACAGAATAAGCAAAATGAGTAGGGAGGCATTGTGATCAAGTAGTTATAGCAGGTGACTGGGCATCAGGATTTCCAGATTTTGTTCCTGCATTTACCATTGACTCACTATGAGACCTTGGCCATGTCAATAAATCTCTCTGGGCTTTTGTTTTCCCATCTGTAAAATGTGGCTAACAATGCTTTACCCAACAGCATGTTTTGAGAATTAATCAGAGTTTGTAAAACACTT